GTCGAAAATGAATACCCAACAAGAAGGATGAACCACCCATGGTTAAAAAAGGCAGTCAGTTTTCGATCAAAACTAGGCATACAGGGCAGCATAAACTTGTGGTGAGCCAGAAGATTAGGAACTTTTAGGAATCAGCTGCAGACAACTAAAAAGCTTAATGAACAGGGAGAAAATTTATGAAGAAAGTAAATTGGCAAGAAATAGAAGGACAAGTAGCAAGAGCTTCTGAAGACAGATAAAAAGAGTAACTAATTATAGGACCATTGGAGAATGCAACTGGGGAATTAATAACGGGGAGAGGGTAACAGGTAATGGGAAATGGTGTATAATTTCAACTAATATTTTGCACTGGTCTTCATGGTGGAGGACACAATGAACATCACAGAGAGACGTGATAAGCAAAAAGCTAATGAGAGGAAAATTCTTTTAACAGCCTTTATCACAAGAAACAAAGTATTAGACAGAGTATGGATACTTTAAAAGCAGACAAGTCACCAAGACTGGACAGCTTGCATCCAAGGAAAATGATCACAGAGATAGTGGCATTGGTCAAAATATTTCAGAATTCACTGGATTCAGAGAAGGTTCCAGCGGATGGTGTGACACATCTTTCTAGGAAAGGAAACAGAAAGCAGGAAATTATAGTTCAATTATCTTAACGTGTCATTGGGAAAATAATAGAAGGCACTTGCTGAAGTTCTTTGAGCATATAACAAGTGGAGTTAATAAAGGAGAACTGGTAGATGCAGCCAATTTAGATTCCAGAAGGCATTCAATAAGATGTCTAATAAAAGGTTACTTCACAAGATAGGAGACCACAACATTGGATAGATAGCATGGATTGGTTAACACAGAGAAGGCTTATAATGTTGGAAATATGTAAGGAGTGGAGTGCCACAAAGATGAGCCCCAGAGTCTTAATTATTTACTATCTATATTAATGACTTGGAGGACGGGACAGAATATAAATTATCCAAATTTGCTGACAATACAAAAATTGGGTGTGTAGTTTGCTGTAGGAGGACATAAGGAATCTGCAGCACGATATAGAACTTGAGTGAGTGAGCAAAAATTTGGCAGATGAAGTTTAATGTAGGAAAGTGCGAGGCTATACACCTTGGTAGGAAGTATCAAAAGGCAAGCTATTATTTGCAAAAAGACTCCAAAAAAGTACAGCATGGAGGGATCTGGCTATTCTTCAGCATGAAACACAAAAAGGTTAGCATGCAGATGCAACAAGTAATTTTGGGAAGATGGCAAATAGAACTTTGGCCTTCTGGAGGTTTAAAAACAAGCATGTCTTGTTACAACTGTACAGAATGTGGGTGAGGTCATACCTGGGGTACAGTGTACAGCCTTGCACCATGTATTTAAGCAAGTACGGACTATCACTGGAGGCAGTTTGAAAGAGATTGTAATGTTCCTTGCACTCAAGTATAAACAATTCAACCCCATCATGGCCGCGTGGGCAGCACGGTGGCTCAGTGGTTAGCGCTGCTGCCTCACAGCACCAGGGACCCAGGTTCAATTCCACCCTCAGGCGACTGTCTGTGTGGAGTTTGCACGTTCTCCCCGTGTCTGCGTGGGTTTCCTCCAGGTGCTCCAGTTTCCTCCCGCAGTCCAAGGATGGGCAGGCTAGGTGAACTGGCCATGCTAAATTGCCCATAGTGTTCAGGGATATGTAGATTAGGTGGTTTATAGGGGATTGATCTGGGTGGGATGCTCCAAGGGTCGATGTGGACATGTTGGCCTGTTTCCACACCATAGGGATTCAATGACGTTGATTCCTGCGAATGAAAGGGGTGACTTATCAAGAACAGCTAAACATGGTCTCAATTGCCTAAACCACTCTTTACATAGGAGTTTTATTAAATTTAAGACCTCCTGAACAGTGATCAAATTTTGGTCTGTTTAATGTTGCAGGAGACTGTGTGGTTATTTCTTACTTATTCATTGACATAAAAGGAGGTCCTGGCGAAGTGGAATTTAGTGCATCTTTAAAAGGCTTTGATTTGATTATAAGTTTGATCGCATCTGTCCTAATCAATGTACTGTTACACATAAGTTGTGCCAAAGGCAGAATAACCTGTTAAAGTAACCTAATGAAATGGAAAGCACTGGTTAGACTGAATTAATGGTTGTTCATTGCGAGCTTATTTATATAATAAACTACAGGACGTTTAATTTGTGATCAGGAGCTATGCAGTCACTTTTTACACTGCTGGTTTTTCAGTAAACTATTTTGGGTGATCCATGCACAGTTCTCTGAAACATTGGTTACATTCAAAGATAAGAATTTTGTTTCTCTGATCACAAATGTATATCAATGTGTATAAACTGTAAAGAAAACCTCTTGACCCAAATGACTACCCAGGCAACACTGGGGAAACTAACTGCAGATTTTTGCCCAACTAAACCAGAGTAATGAATTTTTGATTCATTTGAAGTCTGCTTACAAAACTAAAAGCTTCATTAACCATTTATCTCCAGAAAATACTTGGCACTTTTATAGCCTGCCTTCTTCAACTTTCCTCAGAAAATCTAAGGAAAGTAAGTTGATGTCAGAGGGCAATAACTCTTCTTGTATTCTTTAGGCTTATATTGCAAGCCCAATATCCATGTTATGTGCCTTGGAGACAACAGGTCACAACAAAAGAGGTTATAGAAAAGGTGAATGCATTTGAAAAGTGACCATATAGAAAAGATGCAAGAAATAACAAGGAAGTGCTGGAAATGACTGGTGAACAAGGAAATTAGTGTGCAACACCAACACAAGATACATACTTTGGTCACATCATTAGAACAAATAGTGGAGAGAGACAGTAATTGAAGGACGAGGCTGACAGAGAAAATAGCAGAAGGAAACAAAGGAGAAGAATGGGTACAATGGTCTGGATACAGTTGACTAATGTAGAATCTGTAAGGGCAACACAGAGCGAACAGAGGTGCCAATTCATTATGGTCAATCTTTGGGATGATGATGACAAAAAAAAATGAATGAATGCATGCAATTCCCACAAAGCACATCTTCATAGTTCCAGATGTCTCCCTCAAAAGAGATCAGACCCTTTTTAAATACCTTGCGTATCTCTCCTTATTATCATATGTTCTATGATCATGCTGGGTTAGAAACATAGAAAATAAGAGGAATACGCCATTTGGCTCTTCAAGCCTGCTCCACTATTCATTTATGATCATTACCATTCATCCAACAAGTCTGTTCTTCCTTTTCCCTCATTATCCTTTGATTCCTATAGTCCCAAGTGCTGTATCCAACTCGAAATCATGCAACATTTTGGTCTCAACGGTTTCCTACACTAGCGAATTCTACAGACTCGCCACTCTCTAGGTGAAGAAATGTTTCCTTATCTCAGTCCTTAGATGGGTTACCCCATACCATTAGATTGTGAACCCTGGTTCTAGACTCCCCTATCATCGCGAACAGCCTTCCTGCATCTACCCTATCTAGTTCTGTTAGGATTTTATAGGTTTCCATGAAATACCCTTGTTCCAAGAAAGGAAAACATCCAGACAGCATTAAAGCTGGAAAGCCCTGCACTCTCAGCATCCACTATCACTGACACCCTCACTAAATTGTTCCCCATCCCAAATCAGAAATGGGTATCTCTGGGGTTGTTTAGATTTCAGGTTTCTAGCCTATTCAACTTTCTACCTGAAACAAACCCAACCACCCTATGTCCTCCCTTGCCCTTTGTCACTTCTTCCTAAAGAAATCATACACAAAATTAGCATGACATTTGATATGTTGCTAGTAAAACAGAAAATTGTTAACTAACATTTGTAAGTTTAAAGGTGATCCAGCAGATTGAAAACAATTCCTTTGTTCCAGACACAACCACATTGCAAAATGTCTTAAGAGAAAGTTAGTGGTCTAGAGAAAAACTCCTTCAGTTAATTTTACCTCAGAAGGATGAACCACTATGGGTGCCGTGACAGTATATGCCTCAGATTACACAGTCTTCAGAATAACGCAATATATGCAACATGTATCTGCATTCTATCTTCACTGATTTACCAGACCTATGTCAAAAAGCAGTTGTTTATGTCTTCCATTAATGGAGTAACATCACAGGTGCAACTGCTCATGCATAGTAGATCACGGCTGCCATTTTTAATGACAATGCCCTTCTCCTGCATTGAGATCACACTCTGCAAATTAAAAGATGGGTTCAGACCTTGACAACAATATTCATGAGTCTCCTCAATGGCTGGGTGTTTCTGCTCAAAGCACAAGATACTTGGAACAATCTAATAAGATTAGATTCTTCTTGGATTATTTTAAATATGTTAGATGCTATGAAAAAAGAGTGAGATGAATTCGGATTGACTAAAATGGTTCAATTATATCTCCGACAGATTTGGAACAATAATTGGCATGGCTTTATGGATTAGAATCTGAACTGATATAACGACAGTCCAGTTGCTGCATATAGATGTTCTTTACACCACAAGCAGAGATTCTAAACTGCATGCTCACTGTTAATATTTCACCTTGGTAACTGTGCATTATGGGGAAAATAGTACGTGCAGGAACATGCCAACTAGAAGTAGTGAGCACTGTTCATGAAAAAATTATGACTCCAAAATCAACCCTGTTCTTAAGAGTTTCAGGTGTTATGGGAGACAAAATACAAGCTTCATTCAGTGGTAACTCTCTCACCCAAGTCGGGTGTTTGTGTACTACTGCAGGGCTCAAAATAAAGTCTAGTATATCACCACAGTATGGTGCTAAGGAAGTACTTCATTGACAGAGATTCTATCTTTTGAATTAGGGATTAAATTGAGGCCCTGTTCGGTATTAAGTCGTTGCAACATACTTTAGAAAATGAAAGGCACTACAGATGAAAGATTTTTTTTTTCCCTTCTGCTATGTTTCCAAGTCATTAGGAACCAAATTGAGAGGATCAGAATGACAGTAATGATGCACAACTCCAAAGTAAAAAAAAATTCAAAAAAATTGATATCCATGGTGATCTTACTTGTACAGGAGTGAAAGAGCACTGATTTCCACTTGTCCAACCCATTCCTGCATTGCAAAAAGAAACCAAATTTAGACATTGCTCATTGAAATTTAATTAGGCTTAAGTATTTCAAATTCTATTAGAAATATAGTTCTAACACATCAAGGAGTGCAGTACTGTACCAAAAAACAGACACATGTTATTTTGTTTAATCAGTAGCTGAGCCAACAAGTGCAAACACCAAGCAAAACTTCTACTATGCAAGTGAAAGGGTGGGCACTAGGTCAGAAATGGAGCGCTGTCAAAGGACATTAGCACCAATATTGAATTGAATTGAATGGAGTTGAATTAGCTTTATTGTCACTTGTACTCAAGTTTACAGGCACTACGTTACACCACCAGCTTAGGTACAAAGGTACCTAGGTACAAATATGCAAGATCAAATTCTTAGGAAACAAAAAAATTAGCAAAGTAAAGAAATAAATAGTCTAGCATTTTAGGTCATAGGAATAAATTTTAATAAATAAAGTAGTAAAAGGTTCAGAAGATTAGTCGTTCTGATTATGTCCAAGCCAGCACCTAGACTCAAGGGAAACTTCAAGTGCCTTGTTGCCACTTGCACCAGACCCACCAATGTGGGAGTGGGCCCACTTCAGGCACCATCTCTTCGCTGATGGGCCTACTTCACTGATACCACTGAACTTACACTCACCCTGCAACCAACAGTCTTTGGCTCAGTGGCCAGGTCAGTGCATAAAACACAGAAAGCTAGCACCCAGGCACAGCAGGTAATCAAGGTGGCTAGTGGAATGTTGGCCCTTATTTCAAAGGGGTTGCAGTTTATGAGTAGGCAAGTCTTACTGCAACTGTACAAGGTGCTGGTGAACCCATATCTGGAGTACTGTGAGCAAGTTTTGGCCCCTTATTTAGGAAAAAATATCATTTCATTGGAGGCAGTTCAGAGAAGGCTCACTAGGATGAGCCCTGGTATAGTGAGTTTGTTTTATGAGCAAAGATTAAACAGGTTGGCACTCTGTTCATCGGAATTTGGAAGAGGAGTGATCTCATTGAAACATACAGGATTCCCAAGGGGTTTGACAGGGTAAATGCTGAGAAGACAGAAACAGAGGGCATAGTCTCAGAAGAAAGGGGCACCAATCTAAAACTGAGATGAGGAGGAATTTCTTTTCTCCTTGTCACAGTGGGTTGTAAGGGCAGAATCCTTGTGTATGATTGCAGCCGAAATAGATAGATTCTTGATCAGTAAGAAAATCACGGGTTACAGGGAAAACCCAGGAAAGTAATCGAGTCAGATCAGTCATGATCCAATTAAATGGCAGAGCAGGCTCGAAGGGCCAAACGATCTACTCTGTTCCTATTTCTTATGGTTTCAATTCCCTTGTCCAGGGATTCAATATCAGAAGCACAGCCTCCTAGCAGAGGAAGGGGAGCTGGAGAGGGCCAGATGATGGCAGGTAAGCATAGCTATGGACCATCAGAATCTTCATCATCTCCACCACACCCCCTCACCTCCCATCTCCTATCCCTTCCCCCAGAAACTTCCCCAATCCCTTATCAGCAGTGCATGCACGGAGGATGAGTTCACTACACACACATGGCGACATGATCGCACATGTGCAGACACTTTCTACGGCTTTACCTGTCACAGCCAAGTGATGTCACTGGCCACATCTGCCCATGCATGGAGGTCATGCTCTGTTATGAATAATTACACCATTTCCATTACCTATGACGTCCCTACCTCAAACCCTGTATCCTCTTTGGCCTATTATCACTAACAACATGTTCATATCCCAACTATTCCCTGATCATTGCCAGGTTATGAAAGGCAAACTCATTTTCTTGACACTTCACCCCGATTCACCAGAGTTTAGAAGAATGACAGGGAATCTCATAGAAACTCATAAAATACTAACATTCTGGACAGAGTAAATGCAGGAAAGATGTTCCTGATGACCAGGAAGTCCAGAACTAGGATCTAAGAATTCAGGGTAGGCCGTTTAGGATTGAGATGAGGAGAAGCTTCTTCACAGAGTGGCAAGCGTGTGGAATTCTCTACCACAGAAAGTGGCTGAGGCCAAAACATTCAATGTTTTCAAGGAGTTAGACACAGTTTTTAGGGTTAAAAGGATCAAAGGATATAGGCAGAATGTGGGAACAAGGTTCTGAGTTGGATGATCAGCCATGATCATCTTGAATGGCACAGCAGGCTCAAAGGGCTGAATGCGCTACTCCTGCTCCCAATTTTTTGTGTTTCTATATTTCCTTCAAAGAAATTTTATTTAAAAAAAACACACTGGAGATTAGAAAAACACTCGAGTGGCCATCTTTCCACTCAACTCACTTCCATTCTCTCCTAAATTCACACTCCAGTTTGTATTCAAGTAATTTAAAACAGTTGTTTCCAAATTAAAAGTTACCCTTTAGGTTTTATATTCTGTGCGCCAAACCTGTAAGGGTGGTAGAGGCAGAAACCCTCATAACATTTAAGAAGTATGTAGATGTGCACTTGAGATGCTAAAGCAGACAAGGCTGAAAACGCATACAAAGTACTGAAAATGGGATTGAAATAGTTTGGTGGTTGTTTTTTATCAGCATGGATACAATGGGCTGAAGAGGCTTTTCCTGTGCTGTAGATCTCTAGTACTCTATATTCTACACTACTTGGGCACTGCATTAACAATTAATTCAATTAAATGGACCTCACAGGCCTCGTATCCATAATGTACCTCTAGCTGCCTAACTATGTCAAGATCCAAGAACTGAGCAAAGAACCCATAGCAGTCTAGTGTAGCTCGGATGATTTTTCCTTCTCTTAAATAACCAAATTGAAAATTCACCACACTGTGTCTAAGCTACAAAAAAAGTGGTCTGGAGTTTCTATCCAGAATGAACATTAAAGATGATGAAATTATGAACACAACTGCGTTATGTCCATAACTTTTTAAAAATCAATTACACATGATCTTTTACACACTTCAAACATCTTAAGTAGTTAAAAGAATAAAATTCACAATTAAACTGTCAAAATCTCATTCTCTATTTCTTGTTGTATATTTTAAAAAAGTAATGCACTGTTCCTGGAACTGTCCTCTACATGTACAATAATTCTTGAAATTTTTTTACATGATGAAATTTGTCAGGGTGCCAATCTAGCATTAGAAACCTAATTTATTGCTCAAAACTCAGCCCATATCCAGTAGTGATTCAAGAAATAGAGAATGTAATGATGATTTTCACAGAATCATGGGCAAAGACATGAGACAAAATCCTCAAGGCACAGACAAAAATCCCAATACATTGCATGTTAAACATTAGGATATCCCTATTACTATATCGTATGGCCCTTTGGCCCATCTGTACTGTCAGAAATACACTACTACTACTCCACCAATACTACATCCCTGCTCTTGGCCTTTGAATATTATGACATTTCAAGTGCTCATCTAAGTAATTTTTAAAGATTGTGAAGTTACTGTCTCAACTATCTTCCCAGGCAGTGCAATCCAGAGCCCATCCTCAAATCCCCTCCAAACCTCCTACCTTTTATCTTATCATTTTAAAATATCTAACATCAAAAATCTTTAATTAAAATTCTTTAAGTACTACATTGAAACAGCCATTACAGAAAGCCAAATTACTAAAGTGACACTCAAACTACGTTTAGCAATACTTCACACTGGTGCACTCCTCTTTGCTCAGTCACTAAAGTCCTAGCGGACTAAAGGTTGCTCTCTCAGACGAGGGAAGTGTTTGAGAAGTAAATTCCTTCTTGATATCCTCAGACCAGTGCAGGTATTAAACGCATGGAGTTGGCGTCAACCTTCATTGTTGACTGACCATCCAGTGAACTGAGCTAACCAACCTCATATCCAAAGCAGATAAACCTTCTAGCCAGCAGACTGACTTCCTCCTTCTCGATGAAGAGGTCAGTCAGCTTGCTTGTGGGAATTGTTCTAGAATCCATACTTAGCATGCTGGGAGGCATCAGAATTGCGAGACACCTGATTACAAAATTCATGAACAAGAGAACTGAGCTTTTGTGGGCTGAATTTCATACTTGTGTTGTAATAAGTTTGCAAAACTAATAAAGGAATGACCGACACATTGACATCAATCTTGTGGTACTAATCACGGCAAAAACATTTCTGTTCCTCCTGTCTTCCAATCCTACCTCTTAGGCCCATCAATATCAGGAGAACAGCCCCATGGCAGGGTGGGTTGGAGAGCCAGATTTGAAAATTAATCAAAGCAAATATTCATTACGAACACTCACTTGTCATTAGACTGAAGACAGACCTCAAAAAGGTGTGTATCTTCAGTTAATGATGTCAAGAGGGGGCATGGCTTCAGTAGAATTACATCTTATCGTCAGGCCTCCATGCTCACTATGCCAGCAGATCAATGCAGCAGCCAGAAGATCAAGTTCCAAGAGTTGGAACATATAATTTAAACGTGGTCAGTGATATAACCTTCTCCTTCACAGAAGATATGGGAGGTTAATTTGGAGTTGTTAAAGTTATTTGCTGAATTTTCATTGATCACCAACCAACCATCAAGCCTTCTTGCAACAGAGCCAATGGAGTATTTGTGAAGTCCATGGGCAGTTAGGTTAATTAGTTTGTAAAACTAGCACTGCACCTAATTCTATGTGTTTTCCAATTAATGAAAAGATTCAAGTTATCCCCCAGTTACTTTAATCTTCGTTTTAGAGCTGCAGCCAAATTTAATAATTCAAAGTCAATATGTACAAAAAAATTGAATTATATGGCAATGGTGATTGAAACAATATAATGTTGCAAAATGGGAACTCAGTGGTTAAAAATATTTAATTATTAGGTAAGTGCCACGTTGAATTAAGAGTAAACTCTAATGCTACATTTCACAAGTTTTCTTCAAAATATCATTTAGGAACAGAAAATTCAGCTTCACAATGTTTCCAGGAATGAATTTAGATACCATTCAATGAGAGCTCAGATGATATTTTATTTTCAGAAAAATATATAAAATAACAATGTCATACCTGTGGTTTTTCAAGATGTTTTAAATATTCATCAAATGATCCTTCAATGAACTGCAATAATGAAATAAAAATGAAATCTTACAAATTTTGCAACAAGTAAATCTGACAAATGTAAGCCATTTAGCCTTTCGGTCTTGTCATACCTTTCAATAAAATCATTACTGATTTGTATCTTAAATCTAAGATGGCTTGGAGGGGTTTTGTTAGGTAAGAGTATAATAACTATCAAATCAGAGTTTTGAAATATTTGATTGACTGTCTTTAACAGTTCTTTGTTTAAAAGGGAGACAGGGTATTCCAAATTTCAACTACCAATTACGTGAAGAAGTGCTTCTTGAATAAGTGTGAATTTCTATTCCTAACCAATTACGGCACTGCAGAATTCATGTTAATAAAGGAGAAAGGTAAAGTCACTATAGTCTTACCAGACCATAGGGCTACTGTTTCATTAGAGAGACAGATGCTGGTGGTGGTTTAACCGGAGGGTCACCACACCTCAGGCAAGGGGGAAGGTTGAGAAGGAGAGTCCTTCATGGTAATCTCAGCCAGTGCAGGAATTGAACCTAAGCTAATACCATACTCTGCATTGCTAACTATCCAGCCAACTAAGCTAACCTACTAGCAACGTTAATAATGGTTCAGGCACTATCAAAATATTGCGCTAAAAGACAGATACTTTCTTTGACAAATGGGGCAGCAAACTTGCTGTTGCATACCTAATAGTCAGCTCAAGGTTGTTTCCGTTATAAATCAAAGCACATTGTCTGCTCACCCTTCTGTTATAAGATGGCATGATGCCTGGGTACCAACCAGTGCTGGCGTTTGTTTGGGGTAGAGTGCTTCCTTCCTGTGCTAGAATCTTTCTTCTTAGTCTAGTCTAAGGTGCTGTTCAGTAGCTTGTGGTGGACGATGGATTATGAACAAGGAGCTCTTGTTTTAGATAAGATGATGTAGTTTATTACATCTCAGTAACTATATACAGGTTACATTTACTATTACTAACAAGAGATAGAGAAAATGGGCAACATCAACTCTTTTAGATCTATTACCTTGTATAACATCTCTCCCCAAGTGTTTTTCCAAGCTTATATAATCAGCTCTGAAGAATGGTCACTGGACTCAAAACGTTAACTCTGTTTTCTCTCCACAGATGTTGTCACACCTGTTAAGTTTTCCAATAAGTCCTATTTTTGTGTGATACAATATTGAATACTTGTCTGCTTTATTTACTAAAACCACCCTCCTCCCAATCTCTGATTTCATACATTCAAGCAGTGTTGAGGTTTCACAATTCTTCTGGAACATTTGTTTCAGACTTTGATTGCTATGTGTTTGGTGTGAGAATTGTTGAACTCGATTCTGATATTTATCTTGAATAGGCTGTGAACTATTACACTCATGACGTTCTTCATCGAGTTTGTCACAATGAAACATTAGTGGATAATGGGTACACAGTAAGACAAGGTCCCTGCAGTTTCTCCTTACAACTCCTTCCACTATTGGGAAGATGCGAAACCAGTTGGACTACAGCACCATTCCTGTTGAGGTCCCTTCTCCATACTTGTTGCCTTTAGTCCAGCTGTGGCAGCTGTCCTGCATGGTGATAACTATTGTAGTGAGAAGCCTGCTACTGTGGATAAGACTGCCCCTTGTTAGAAACACTTTTATAGACTTTTGTACTCAACTGGTAGGATCGGGAGTCGAGTCATCATTTCATTCCCTATCAGTAACTCTGACACATTGGAGTGAGGTACACAATTAATTTAACAAGGCCCTATAAAAGTTAGCATTTGTTTGCAAAAAGAAATTTGACTGTCTGTACTCTATTTATCCATTTGACTGTGCATATCATGGTGAACTGATTATATGTTGAAATGCAGTAGTGGCTAAAAGACTCATTAGCAGGGTAGCACAGTGGCTCAATGGTTAGCACTGCTGCCTCACAGCACCAGGACCCAGATTTGATTTCACCCTCGGGCGACTGTCTGTGTGGAGTTTGTACATTCTCCCTGTGTCTGTGTGGGCTTCCTCTCACAGTCCGAAGATGTGCACATTGGGCAATTCGGCGCGGCTAAACCGCCTATAGTGTCCAGGGATAGGATAGGGGTGGGTCTGGCAGGATGCTCCTCAGAGAGTCTGTGTAACCTCAATGGACTGAATGGCCTGCTTCCACACCGTAGGGATTCCATGATTCAAACTGTTGCCCAAAATGCAAGACCCTGACAAATACATCCTGGATGGTGGCGTACATATATGATTTAGTTCCAGTTCTCCAGAACTATGTAGCTTGTCACCATATCTAACAACAACCTGAAGACATACAACAGTTTCCAACATCCAGTTGATTGCTCCTCAAACAGAAATGCTTCAATGCCCACAGGTGGAGAATTCACAACAACAATTGTTGGAAGGAATGGACTCAAATGGGCTAGGACTCCATAGACATCAGCATCATCTTGAACTCTTGGAAGGCATCTTCCTGATGCAAGTCCCAACACTACCCGATGTCTTTTGAGATGTTGCTTCAGTTATCACTGTCAAATGAGGCAAAGATTTTGCCAGTTCATCAGAAACAACACATATGAACAGGAATTGGCCATTCAGTCCTTCGTACCTCTTCCACCATACAATGAGAACATGGTTGACCTGTGGCCTAATTCCATATAACTGCCTTTTTCCCATATGCCTTAATATCTTTGCTTAAGGAAATTTATCTACCTTAGACTTAAAATTAACTGATCCAGCATCCGCATCCACTACCGTTTGTGGAAGAGTGTTCCAAACAAAATCCACCTTTGCGTGGAGAAGTGTTTCCAGTATCTCTTTTGAACATTCTGACTCTAATTCTCAGACTACTGCCCCTAGTTCTAGCATCCCTAAATAGTGAAAATAGTTTATTCTTATCTACCCCATCTTTTCCTGTTAATATCTCGAAGACCTCAATCAGATCACCCCTTAGCCTTCTAAATTCTAGGGGAAACAGGAGTAACTTATATAATTTGTCTAAGGTTCTGGAGTAGATTTATAGCTCGGGTTGTGGATGCTGTGGTTGGTTCACTCGCTGAGCTGGTTCGTTAGTTGCAGACGTTTCATTACGCTGCTGGGTAACATCATCAGCGCAGCCTCCGATGAAGCACCGTTGTGTTTTCCTTCCTGGTTTTTAAAATTCCGGAGTCCGTTGGAATTGGTTATCTCATTTCTGGTTTTTCTTCACAGTGGTGTAAAAATAGGGTCTAATTCTACGTGTTTATTGATGGCCCTCTTGGTGGAGAACCAAGCCTCTAGAAATTCCCATGTTTGGCCTGTCCTAGGATCCTAATGTTGTCCCAATCAACTCGTGGCTCTCCTTATCCATGTGAATGGAGACGAGCGAGTACTGGTCATGTCATTTTGTTGCTAGTTGGTGTTCATGTCTTCTTGTGGCCAGTTTCCTTCCTGTCTGTCCAATGTAATATTTGTCGTAGTCTTCGCATGGGATTTTGTATATCACGTTGGTTCTGTCTATAGTGGGTAAGGGATCTTTGGTTAGAGTTAGCAGTTGGCGTAGGGTTAACGTAGGTTTGTGTGCCACTCTGATGCCCAATGGTCGTAGGAATCTTGTGATCAGTTCGGATATGTTCTTGATGTATGGTAACATGAGAAGTGTGTCAGGGCGTACTGTATCTTCCTGTTGTTGTTTCTGATAGGCATTGTCGGACCCAACTGTTTGGCTATCCATTGTCCTTAAATACTTGGTAGAGGTATTCTTCTTCATTTTGGCATAGGTCAGGGTTGCTACAGTGTGTTGTCGTTCGTTTGAATAGTGTTTTTACGCAACTCCATTTGAGAGTGTTGGGGTGGTTGCTGTTGAAATTCAGGACTTGATCCGTGTGTGAGGCCTTTCTGTGTACCTTTGTCAGAAATTTCCCGTTGGCCCTGCGTTCTACCATGATGTCCAGGAATGGGAGCGGTTTGTCGTTTTCTTCTTCCCTGGTGAATTTGATGTTGGCGAGAGTGTTGTTTACAAGTTGGTGTGTCTCCTCCAGTTTAATCCGTTTGACGATGACGAAAGTGTTGTCCACGTATCTGATCCATAGTTTAGGTTGGATCTGCGGAAGGGCTATGCTTTCAAGTCCTTTAATACCCTAGGATGTAGGCCACCAGGCCTGGGTGATTTATCTGCCCTCAATCCTAATAGTCTCTTTGGACATGCACTGTATTTAACTTCTTACCATCTATAAAGTACGCTGAACTATCTCTTCTTTTCTGTCAAAAAAAAACGGATAACCTCACACTTGCTTACATTCAACTCCATCTGCCACAGTTTTGCCATTTCACTTAGCATAACATTAGAAAGGGGTATCGTTAGTCTATCAACTACACTATCTACAATGCTGCCTAACTTTGTCATTAGCAAATTTGAATTTATGACTTTCTATGCCATTATCCAAGTCATTAATAATGTGAATAATTGAGGGGCTAACGCAGATCCTTGTGGAGACATCACTAGTCATATGAGCACTTAGCCATTAACCCTGCTTCCTGTTGCCTACCACTCATCCAATTTCCCACATGTCAGTAATCTGCCCTTAGTTCTGTGGGCATCTACCTTAGTTGATAGTCTTAAGTGGAACTTTATCAAATGCCTTCTGGAAGTCCATATAAAAAACATCCCTGCCCACCACCTCTTCAAAAATTTCAAGCAAGTTTGTCAGGCATGACACTCCTGTCATGAATCCCCGCTGACTTCCCCAAACAACTGAAAATTTTCTACGTTCTGTTACCCCATTCTCAATTATAGCCTCCAACAATTTCCCCACAACAAATATTAAGCTAACTGATCTGCAATTCCCCGGTTTTCCTATTTTGCCCTTCTTAAAAAGGACATTGTCGTGCAATTTTCTAATCCAGAGGGACAACTCCTGTATCTAAGGAACTCTGGAATATTACAGTTGGGACATCTACAACATGCAACCCTACTTCCTTTAACACCTTCAGAAGGAAACCAGAGCTCAGGGATTTGTCACTCTTTAATTCCAATAATTTCCTCATTACCAAGTGTTTACTTTAATTTTATTCAGTCCCTGTTCACGATTCATTATTAATTTCTTCAGGACAATATCCTCTTCTACTGTAAATACTGAGGGAAAGTAATAATTCAACATGTCTGCCATATTCACAGGTTTCAACTAATCTATACAGATCATTAATGAAATTGTCCATGGATTCTCCTGGAAGTTGTAATTTTCTGTTGAATCATACTCATTCAGGAATTATATTTGTTCTGAACTTAACGTAATTAGCAAAAGCTTCTGTAACATCATCAAAAGTGGCAGCATTTTCTTTTACTTTGTGGCAATTTATGACATCCTCAGCTATAAGGCCTATTAATGTGTTAACTGGCTCTGCTTCTGATTAAACTTTGAAGCAATTCTGTATCTTCATAATTGTTTTTCCCATGAAAGCCAATCTTGTGTTGTTAGGACAATTTCTGATTTGGAATCTGCTAGGAAGTATTGACCTTTTCCATTTCTTCTTAATGTCTTCATCAATCTTCAGACTTGAGATATTTTAAACTTATATAATTTCAAATCTGTGCAATTTCAATATTGCTTTAAATCTGATGTTCTGTAAGCTTGTCTTCTTGTATTCAGGTATGCATTTTACTTTAAATCACTATGATGTTTGCTAGTGTCTTTGCAGCTTTTTCTTCCATTTACCAGGCTGTTAATTCTGTATCACTGCTGAACTGTATCAAATTCTTCCAATAATAAGATTTTAAGTTGTAGTTACTGGGTGTTCAGGAGTGATTTGCTGCTTCCAGGTTTAATTATTTTTTCTCTTGTAAAGCCTTTGCCTTTTTAAAATTGTTTAGACTTTTAAAATTCTGTGCTGTAGCAATATTATGCTAAAGAATAAAATTATTTTAAACATCTCAAAAGGTGTAAATTTTTTTAAATACTACCTTTTCTAAATTAGTAGTATAATCTTCGTAGTATTAGGAATCAAAATGGAGGATTTCCACTTTTTTTTGCTTCTTCTGTTCCTCATGTTTTTAAAATCAAATTGAGGATTCATGCCATTTTCTCCTCTTGTTGGTTGATTTTCTGGCTTTTCTCGTACACCCCCAACACAAACTCACCAGCAATAGGAAGTTTTGTACCCTTTTGCCTTAGGGGTCTAACATACTGCTGGAGGCCCACATGTCAAGTCATTTTGCAGCCAAGTCCCAACTCAGATTTTCTTCCTTCTGCCCAACTGTGACTGCCTGCAGCCCACACTGGCTTCACTGTCCTTTTTGATCCTCCATGTCTGGCTACTTTTTCTCCTTGGAGTGCAGCTACCAAGCTGTCGCTGTTTCAATGAGCCAGTGCTGACTGATGCCTTTCAAAAGTGTTCAACTGCTGAATGATCAGCTGAACATTTCTGAAAATGGTAATGCTCTTACAAGTTTCTAACTTATTTGTCAATAAAAATGACTTTTCTTTCGCTTCAGATTCTTCTAGCTTCTTTTCAATGTTGATCTCTTCTGGACTTTGCATAAGTGTCTGCTACTGCCAGCAAGTCATATGAGACAGCTATTTGGAATCCACACTTTACCTTCTTATAATATATGATTTGGGTACCAACCACTGGCAGCTTGTGATTAGGATACAGTGCTGCTACCAATTCTTCTTTCCATGATATTGTAAGGGGCTGTTCAGTAGTCTGATGTGGAGCATATATCATTAGTAAGTCTCAATGGAAGCTCTTGTCTTACATAACAAGATGTAGTGTATTACAGCTCAATAACTATGTATATATTAACTATCCTTAAGCATATTATTCCTGATAAATAGGTAGAGAAGATATGTATGCCTCTATCAGGGGACCACACCAGAAAAAAATTCATGGACTGTGTGATATCAGCAGACTGTTCAGGGCTCAATTCTGCTCAAACATTAACTCTTTCAGAGCCATTACCTTTTACAATACTCCTCAGCTAGGTGATAAATGCCTCTAAATATAAAAAAGTGAAAAATTAATTCCTCTACATCGGGGAAACCAAGCAGAGACTCGGGGACCGCTTTGCAGAACACCTACGCTCGGTTCGCAATAAACAACTGCACCTCCCAGTCGCGAACCATTTCAACTCCCCCTCCCATTCCTCAGACGACATGTCCATCCTGGGCCTCCTGCAGTGCCACAACGATGCCACCCGAAGGTTGCAGGAACAGCAACTCATATTCCGCTTGCGAACCCTGCAGCCTAATGGTATCAATGTGGATTTCACAAGTTTCAAAATCTCCCCTCCCCCTACCGCATCCCAAAACCAGTCCAGCTCGTCCCTGCCTCCCTAACCTGTTCTTCCTCCCACCTATCCCCTCCTCCCACCTCAAGCCGCACCTCCATCTCCTACCGACCAACCTCATCCCGCCCCCTTGACCTGTCCGTCCTCCCTGGACTGACCTATCCCCTTCCTAACTCCCTACCTACACTCACCTTTACTGGCTCCATCCCCGCCTCTTCGACCTGTTTGTTTCCTCTCCACCTATCCTCTCCTCTATCCATCTTCTATCCGCCTCCCACTCTCTCCCTATTTATTTCAGAACCCCCTTCCCCTCCCCCTTTTCTGATGAAGGGTCTAGGCCCGAAACGTCAGCCTCTCTGCTCCTATGATGCTGCTTGGCCTGCTGTGTTCATCCAGCCCTGCACCTTGTTGTCTCGGATTCTCCAGCATCTGCAGTTCCTACTATCTCTGAAAAATTAATTTAGTTCATTTTTAAAACCTCAAAGAGAACATACCGCTTCAAACTTATCACGGTTCCTCCTCAGGTAAGAAACACAAGCTCTCCTCACTTCAAGATGTTTAGATTGTGTGTAGAAGACCTGTGAAAGAAAACAAATTGACAATTCCTCCAACATTGTTCAAAAGGTTATTGAAAATCAAATCATTACATGCAGCTTTGTTTTCATAAACTGAGTGGCTGTCGCTGTAACATTTAATCTACTTTTAGCTTATTAACCTTCACGTTCAAGTAAAGAACTTGGATTTATAAACTGACTTTCAATGTCTCAAATGAAAACAACAAATGCTGGAGATCAGAACAGGTCAGACAGCATCCATGGAGAGAGCAAGCTAACGTTTCAGCTGTGAAGAAGAGTTATCTAGACTCGAAACATTATTTTGCTCTCTCTCCATGGATGCTGTCTGACCCGCTGTAATTGCCAGCATTTGGTGTTTTCAGCATCAAATTTTACTTTATTTAAACTGAAGTTTCAAATCAAGAGAACTCATGCATGCACCTTGATGTTCAAGCATTTCTGTTTTAAAAAGTTAAGCAATTCTAGGCCCAGCACCTGACAGCTTGTCATACCAAATGCAATGAAGTGGCTTGAATCTCTCACTACTGGTAAGGAAAAGCCAGGGACTGGTGAGCCTGACGTCAATGGTGGGCAAGTTATTAAAGGAGATCCTGAGGGACAGGATTTACATGGCTTGAAAAGGCAAGGACTGATTAGGGATAGTCAACATGGCTTTGTGCATGGGAAATCATGTCTCACTAACTTGATTGAGTTTTTTTAATGAGTAACAGAGAGGATTGATGAAGGCAGAGCAGTGGATGTGATCTATATGGACTTCAGCAAAGCGTTCAACAAAATTCTGCATGGTATTCTGGTTAGCAAGGCTCGATTACATGGAATACAGGAAGAACTAGCCACTTGGATACAGAAATGGCTCGAAGGAAGGAGACGGAGGGTGATGGTAGCGGGTTGTTTTTCAGTCTGGAGGCCTGTGACCAGCGATGTGCAGCAAGGATCGGTGCGGGGCCCACTACTTTTTGTCATCTATATAAATTATTTGGATGTGAACATAGGAAATATGGAAAGTAAGTTTGCAGATGACACCAAAATTGGTGGTGTAATGCACAGCGAAGAAGGTTATCTCAGAGTACAATGGGACCTTGATCAGGTGGACCAATGGGCTGAGGAGTTGCAGATGAAGTTTAATTCAGATAAATGGGAGGTGCTGCATTTTGGAAAGGCAAATCGGGGCAGGTATTATACACTTAATGGTAAGGTCCTGGGGAGCGTTGCTGAACAAAGAGACCTTGGAGTGCAGGTTCATAGTTCCTTGAAAGTGAAGTCACAGGTAGACAGGATACTGAAGAAGGCGTTTGGTATGCTTGCCTTTATTGGTCAGTGCATTGACTTGAGTTGGGAGGTCATGTTGCAGCTGTAGAGGACATTGGTTAGGCCACTTTTGGAATGCTGCATTCAATTCGGGTGTCCATGGTGTAGGAAGGATATTGTGAAACTTGAAAGTGTTCAGAAAAGATTTACAAGAACGTTGCCAGGGTTGGAGGGTGTGTGCTATCGGGAGAGGCTGAACAGGCTGGGACTATTTTCCCTAGAGCATATCGGGCTGAGGGATGATCTTATAGAGGTTTATAAAATCATGAAGGGCACGGATATGGTGAATAGCCAAGGTCTTTTCGCCGCAACGGGCGAGTCCAAATCTAGAGGGCACTGGGGGCGAAAAGATTTAAAAGGGACAACTTTTTCACGCAGAGGGTGGTGCATATATGGAATGAGCTACCAGAGGAAGTAGTGGAGGCTGGTACAATTGCAACATTTAAAAAGGCATCTGGATGGGTAGACGAATAGGAAGGGCTCAGAGGGGTATGGGTGAAATGCTGGCAAATGGGACTAGATTAGTTAAGGACATCTGGTTGGCACGGATAAGTTGGACCAAAGGGTCTGTTTCCATGCTGTAGAGCTCTAAGATTCCACTCCCAAACTTAGAAATGCCAATAAATTTGCTGGCGCATCCATTATCAAATTCTAGATAGTTACATTTAGCGACAACGTAGCTGTACTGGCCATGACTTAACGAAACAGGAAAAGTCAGAAAGTAGGAACGAGGTCAATTTATTAATAGCACCTCATACAACACTGAATATTTGTAGGATGATAGTTCAATACAGAGAACTCCCAACATATGTCCGGGCCGCAACTGTAACATTCAGCCCAGTTTTCCTCCTTTACTTCCAGGAGGGCAACCCTCTGGTGAGGTATCAGCCCATGGCTACAAGTTGCCCTCCTTATGTCTGAGTTTCAATTCAACTACTTTGATCGCAAGTTCCATTAGTGCAGGATCTGAGCCCGATCCCGCACAATATCCACATATTATTCTAGCCAGTGGTTGTGGATAACAGTTGAGGAATGCTGTCAAATGTTCCTTTGACGACCATTGATTAGACGAATCAGGTTCTGAAGCCAACAACTAATTAGAGAGGAAACTGGAGACCACCTATATATACAGAAACACACCAACACCTACACACCTTTTCCATGCTGCAAGTGTGTGCTCTAACCATAACTTAAACAAAACAGAATTCACAAGATGCTTTTTCTAAGGTACCAAAAACAACAAAAAGTGGAATTAACCTTATGCTACTCAGAGCAATGAATTCTTAAAATAAAACAAAACTGTTGGCAAAAAAACGTTCAGAAATGTTCTGCCCTACAGTGATAGTTAAGGATCTCTTGCCTGGTCACTCTCAAACAGTCAAGAGGATGGGAGACTTGACACATTTAAAAAAGGCAGGACTCCCACGTTTCTCACTTCACGAAGATCTCAAAAGTAATGGTAAATGATAATCACTGCTAATAATATACCTATCCTGGAAAGTCAGCAAGTTCCAACAGTGCTCCAATACACTCTCCTCCAAAAGCTGTTGCAGTGACAATTCTTTTTTTCAATTCATTTGTGGGATGTGGGCATCACTGGCTGGCCAGCATTTCTTGCCCATCCCTGAGTGCCCATGAGAAGGTGGTGGTGAGCTGCCTTCTTGAACCGCTGCAGTCCTCCTACTGTGGGTTGACCCACAATGCTATGAGGGAGGGAATTCCAGGATTTTGACCCAGCAACAGTGAAGGAACGGAGAATAATTTCCAAGTCAGGATGGTGAGTGGCTTGCAGGGGAACTTGGAGGTGATGGTGTTGCCATATGTCTGATGCCCTTGTCGTTCTAGATGGAAGTGGTCATGGGTTTGGAAGGTGCTGTCTGAGGATCTTTGGTGAATTTCTGCAGTGCATCTTGCAGATAGTACACACTGTTACTACTAAGCATCAGTGGTGGAGGGAGTGGATACTTGTGGATGCAGTGCCAATCAAGCAGGCTGCTTTGTCCTGGATTGTGTCAAGCTTCTTGAATGTTGTTGGGACTGCACTCATCCAGGCAAGTGGGGAGTATTCCATCGTGCTCCTGACTTGTGCCTTGTAGATGGTGCACAGGCTTTGGGGAGACAGGTGGTAAGTTACTCGCCATAGTATTCCTAGCTTCTGGCCTGCTCTTGTAGCCACTGTGTTAATGTGGTGAGCCCAGTTGCATTTCTGGTCAATGGTAACCTCCAGGATGTTGATAGTGGGGGATTCAGTGATGGTAACACCATTGAATGTCAAGGGATGGTGGTTAGATTGTCTCTTATTGGTGATGGTCATAGCCTGGCATTTGTGTGGCGTGAATGTCACTTGCCACTTGTCAGCCCAAGCCTGCATATTGTCCAGATTTTGTTGCATGTAAACATGGACTGCTTTAATACCTGAGGAGTCACAAATGATGCTGAACGTTGCACAATCATTGGCGAACATCCCCACTTCTGATCTTATGATGGAAGGGAGGTCATTGATGAAGCAGCTGAAGATGGTTGAGCCTAGGACACTACCCGAAGGAACTCCTGCAGAGATGTCCTGGAGCTGAGATGATTGACTGCCAACAAGCATGACCATCTTCCTAAGTATCAGGTATGACTCCAACCACCAGAGAGTTTGTACCCTGATACCCATTTTAACTATCCAGAAACTACAGTGGCCAGACTCCATACGAAACAAACATTGTGTTGTAATTGTCTGTCGTAACTGTGCAAAGTGTCCACAATAACTATTCGAAACTTCATGTCTCAGAGCACTTAGACAGAAAGTCAAACATTATACTTAATTACAATAAACAAGACTGTCAAGTCCAATTTAAAATAAAATTGAGGTTAGATGATTTAGCAGGAGCAGTGTAATGAATCATCAAGTAGGAAAGTGGCAAGTAGGAAAACAACTTGCATACCAACTAGAAGACAATAAGGCACTCCAGGGGAGTGATAATCAATCAAAATTGTACATGGAGTCAATAAAATGAAATTAAAAATCTTTCTCAAAAGCAGCAGATTTTAAGGAGTGAGGCAGAGAGGTGGAGAAGTGCAGGAGGGAACTCCAGAATTTAAGTCATTTGCAGTTGAAGGCATAGGCATCAATATTGAAGTGTATATATAAAAACAAAATCAGGAGCATGCCAGAATTTAAAACTTGGGAATCAATTTTGCTTGCTTTCTTCAGTTCATACTTTGTAAGGCCTTTTTAACAGGACAAACTGAAACACAGGAAGGAGGGCTCAGCACATAGGAAAGCCGTAAATTCACTTCTTGGTAATAGCTGCTAATCTGGCTATAAGAAGTCGCTTTCAAATTAAAGGTAAACAGGAGAAATATTTTACACATTAAAAACTAAACTACTAATTGAAAATTTAAAACCAAACAAATTAAGAACTAAGTAAATAAAACAGACATACAGGGCAAGGCTGTGTACTGTACCTGCAGGGTATGGGAGCTGGTGGACCTCATTGTGGCTCATAGTGGCCACATCTGCAACAAGTGCTGATTGCTTGAGAAAATCCAGCTCAAAGTTGATGAGCGGGAGTCTGAGCTTCGAACACCGTGACACATCAGGGAGAAGGAGACTTACTTGGTCACTGTTTCAGGAGGCAGTCACATCCCTTAGATTAACTACCTCCAATCTAGTCAGGCCAGGGACAGCAGGGTGTCAAGCAAGGCAG